ATAACTTACTCTATTATTGTACAATTGTGTTATTTAAAATAGGTTAATTCAGTTCCTTTGAATCGGCCAGACTATTATTTCCTCCAGGCTAGTTCCTCTGTGAAGGTCAGCAGCTTTCAATTTTGACACAAAAAGTAATTAACAGAAATAGAAATGTATCCAAAATTCTTTGCAAACTCCAATGATACACTGATTTTTTTTAAAAAGGGAAAGATTGTGACCAACTGTTACATGGGATAAAGCATACATGGGATAAATCACAATAAATGATTATTATAAGGACATCCCCATTTTATCGCAGAACTTAATGGTCATTGTTTCCACAAAACACTGCATTTATGGCACCAATACCTCCTCTTCCTCAAGTACTGGCTGAAATGAATATTATCCTCGTCTCAATATGGGCACTCCACCCGCCAATATACTCACAACTCTTACACTCTCAAGTGAATGCTATTATGCATTTGAAATTGAAGAACATTGAATGTTCACTTATTCTTCCCAATGTTCATTTTTTTAAAACTTGGTGACATTCCAAAATAGGGTATTTAATACAGAAAACATGAATATTCCGAGCACTTTGATGAAACCTTCACTGAAGGTTTGCCATGTGAAATTTATCAGTAAAAAATAAAAATAAATCACTACAAAAGGTTACATGACACAATGTGTTAAGATATACGTCTTCAAATGAAGTCTGAGGACGGCTAACTAGAAAAGCAACTTTCCCTAAAGGCTATCAGAGTTACTCGGTCCTTTAAGTCTTTAATAGAATAAATTGACCCAATTACAGCAATTTATTACATCCTTGGCATTTATTAATTGGGGTTAGGCCAGAAAATGGAAATTTCCATTGGTGCAGTGAAGGTCAACATTCTGAGGCTTGGGCAATGCCTACTGACCTGCACCATAATCAAGCCTGAAGAGCTACAAACTGTCAGAGTATCAAAATATTTCTATCAAGCACAATAAAAACACTACAGTTAAATTTCATACATTTAAGTTTTAGCAAAAGTAAATCTTAATCCTACGACTTCTAGCCATCCAGTAAGTAATGTGCATTATTCAATGTGCAATTGCTTGTGAGGTCTGATCTGTATCCCTTCCTCTTTCCACTGACCACCCCAGGCAAAACATTTAGACTCAATGTACCATGGTAAAGCTTCGTTGCAAGAATAAAATAACTTCTCACTTTGCTTCTCCACACAAACTAACAGGCGTCAAAAGCATTTTTTTAAAAAAAATCATCATTGCTTTTTACTTATTATTGTAAAAAATAATTGCGGAATTATTTTCTACAGAATGTTAAAAAAATTAAACTATTCCAAATTCTACTTGTAGACAAAGAAAACAAAAGAGCAAACACAAAGGCTCAACTGGACCTGTATCAGCCTAATTACCTTGAAATAATTACTGTATTATTGTAACCTCTCAAGCCAGAAATTAAAACAAAATCCTACCTTGCTTGCAATATGCTTGCACAGAGTCTTAAGTAAACCACAGGTCATTTGAAAGTATGAACTAACTATGTATGCTAAGAGGAAAATACTATAACCATTCCATTACACCTATGGTGATGAGCACGCATTTTAGACATGCATAAATATATAGTGCATTCCTTCCCATAAAATTATTGAAGAATTCTTCTAGCCATTAACTGTGCAAAGTTTTGTTCTGACACTGTATGTACTATTCATCATCTTAGCCTGCAACGCCTTCCTACAGATAAAAGTTATTGAACACCTAAACCATTTTAAAAACAAACCGCATCACAGTATTTTCACTTGTTCAATCAATCGCTGAATATGAAACCTATGCGGTGCAGGTCACAATTGGATTGAATCATTTTAAAACCAATAGGCAAAAGAACAGGATGATTTGCAATATTAATAAATTCTTGAAATTTCCAAAGCTTCATCGTGTTAAAATATAGTAACAATAGCAAACAACAAGCAGCCCATGGCACAGCTTTCCAATATTGTAAATCAATATACACCGACTGTAAACAGAAACACTGGAAAACTGCAGCACGTTAATCAGCATCCAAAAGAGAAGCACAAGTTTCAAGTATGGCACTTCATTTGTTATTTTCTGGCCATCAAAAGCAAATTGTCATCAGAAAAAATTGCAACGATCGTTATTAATGATGTATGGATGCACTAATAACTTGAAGCATCCTTGCCAATGCCCATCATTGCATATTTTTAATAAAAGTGAAAAAAAAATAGCTTTCCTGATTCCACAGCGCCTACTGTTAGAAATAACCTTCACATGGCACGGATTCCCTGGCACAGTCTCATCTCAGCTTTTACACAATGATTATTAGCCACTTGGGCTTTGCTTCGAAAAGGTAACGCTTGGTAATCATCATTATCATTTCCAGGCACCCATTTTACTCCAACGCAATGTGCAGTTAAGTCTTTCAGTGGAACAGAAATGTTTTAAAGCAACTCTTGGAAAACTTATGAACCCTTTCTAGCCCAGGCACTTCATGTAAAAATTGGATTAATTGAATTAGTCAAAGTTTTGCAACCTTCTGAATAAAGCCAGATTAAATATATATATATACACATACACAGACAAAACACAGAAACCTTAATAATTCTAAGTCTTTTCTCACTGGGGTGTAAATACGGTTCATGAAAAACTTCAGAGCCAGCTGAGTAGTCAGTGAGGTGGTCTAATAGGCACTGCAAGTATCCAACATTATCGGAGTCCTGAACTTGAAAGGGTTAAAAAGGAGCGACTAACTCCCACTCAACATGATTTTGAAGAGAAGTGACTGGCCCAGGATTGAGGAAAGAATCCCTTCTTTCTTAAACTTTCAACTTTGCAACCGGCCTTAGGAAACTGGAAGAGACATTGTATTCATAAACGTAGGACTGCTTGTGGAATATTCATTGCATTTTTCATTTCATGGTAAAATATTAAAATGAAAACTGAATGAAACACTGCTAGTTTGTTTCCACGAGCATATCCAGTACCTGCAACGTGGCTAGTCTTCACATGTTTGAAAATGAGCTGAGCTCATCCAACTACCACACATATGCACTTGAATCAGAGATCACTCGCTCACTGTGCAGGGATTTTGTTCAATTTTGCTTCTCCATAGTCTCGATAAACGCAAGGGCAATCTAGTATCATACTCACCCGCCTGATTAACAGCACAGTTCAGAGATCAAACTGGAGACCAGGACTGTTCAGACAAAATCATACGGGCATTAATCTATGGAGAGCTGAAAGGTCACTTTTCAATTAATATTTTAAAAAGGTTTGTACAAAAAAAAGCTTGCATTATGCCCCATGGGCCAAAGATGCAGTAATGCAGTCAATAAAGTTTGCTGAGTTTGCTGATCTCAGTCATAGCAGAAGATGGGTGTTATATTTGGCCTTGTGCTCCTGAGCTGGAGGAATGGAAGAGGAAGTGAAAAAAATCACTAGGGTTCAGAGCCTATCCCCTGTTGAAGGGCATGAGTGTGTTTGATGTGCATGTTGTATTGAGCAAGGGCAAGGCTGAGCTCACCTCACCCATTATTCAATAGCTTGCTGACACTCACTCTCCTGGCTCACATCTTTAAAATGAAAGCTTGGGCGGGATACTTGGATGCTGATGCGATCAGAATAACCCTATCTCAGTAAGCATCAATTCCTTAAAGAGGGAGAAAATTAATAAAAAAAGAGGTAAAATCACTTCAACAGTATAGAATAATTGTTTGTATAATTCCCTACCATCTTATTCCCTATACTTTCTGAATAACTATATTGTTCTCCAATACAGGTTTGATTAACTTACAAGAAGGGTTTCTGGACACTTTTCATAGACTTTAGAATTTTTCTAAGCCACAGACACAAATTGGCAATTTTGGAAACCTCTGTAACATAGCTCATTTAATCGGCAGTCAATATGAAAGCATCGACTTGAAATCAGCTGCATGGTCATAAACTTAGCACCCACTTCTTGTTCAGATGATACCCCAATACAATTTGAAAGAGATTTTCTCTCAGAGGACACTGAGATTTGATGGATGCACAACATAATGGAAGTGCTTTTTAGCGGCAATGGGTTTTCAGGTTAAAATCACCGAGAGAGAAAGCAAGATATTATGCGTCACAGTTATTTGATGTTCAGCTGGCTCAAAATTCAAATAGAACAGGTATGTACCTATTAAGTTTCACCAGAGGGTGAAGGGAGATGGCTTTTGTGAAGTAAGTGATCTGGAAAAGGGAAATGGCAGCAGCAGGCTTGGGGAATGTGAACATCAATCGGGAACAAGATTGAAGATCAAGCAAAGCATTGTCACTGTGATCAGGTTCAACTGTTTTCTAATGTGAGCCGTGACTTGTTTTGATGTTACATTCAAGGGCTGGCACACTCAAATATCTACTCCATCTGTCAAGTTACAATTGTTCCATAAACCTGTGACTAGAGTTAATTTTTGGCACTTCCTAATATATTTGTACAGTGAAGTGAATCATCCAGGTTTTCTGCATGAGATGGCAGCTAATTCTATGTGGGCTCCACGCTCATGAAAACTTGGAAGAAAAATTTTAAACACTTTTTCCTCTTGGGTTATGGCTGAGTAGGTGAGGGGAAATGAGGGAAGAATGTATATATTGAAACTAGTTCAGACAATTCTGTTCAAATTTGAGCAATTACATTTCATTTCCTAGTTACAATATTAAGCAATTTGCTTCACCTTATTCAAACCCAGCAGTTGGTGACACGTCTCTGGTATTTGCAATTAGGTAAGCTGATTCGGTATAAAAGTTGTTTCAATGAATGTTCTCCACAGTGCATTTCACACAGCCACACAATCAGTATTACCACCACGTTTCACCCAAACGGTAAGATGACATTGTGATGTTTTATAAATTGGAATAGGCCTTTCTCTATAATGCAAATGTTTAGTCAGCCCCAATTCAAAGCTGGATCTCCTCCAGGTCCTTTAATCTTTAAACTGATTTAGGAGATACATTAAGTTTAACAGGTTTAATAAATAATGGAAAGGATGTAAAGATTGTATTATTATTTTTTTTAGATGGGGAAGGAAAGCAACATTATTCTGGGGCGTATAGTAGAAAAGGAGTGTAGACAAAAGATGTGTGTGTGTTTGTATATATGTATGCTTTGGAGGAAGCAAATCTGTAGCATACATCAATGATCATGTCACAAACTGAATGTAACCTTTTGAACAGCCCCAACACCCTACGATTTTGAAGTGAACGATAACAAACAATGAATGAAGAAAAGTGATGCAGTGTAGATACTGATACCAAGCTCCACGGCCTAAAACTGATAATTCTAAAAGGCAGCATTATAATTCAGTACTTCAACTATTTTGTTCCTAGGGCTAGAACCTATCCCCTGCAATCCCCCTCAACCCCATACTACAGTATTGAAATTTATATAAATATTACAGTACTTCATTCTTATTGTTTGCTCTTCTTCAATTACAATTAAGCACTGGCTTCTGACACCATGAGGAAGAACTGAAAGCAGAAATCACATTTGGAGCCATTACTGCTGACTAAAGCCTGATCTTATACCACCATCAGGATCAGCTCTGTTGAGCCTTTTTGTATATCAGAGTTTAAATAATGGAAATTCCTCCCATTTTTAAAAGGAGTTCAACAATTTACATTTAGGGAATGTACACCATTCGAGCCTCAAATTCCACGTGTTCTCAAAAGTTTCTGGAAAAAACATTTCAGAATCTCAGTTTTCTGGCACCAAAGACGACCATTTGTGTTGGGAGGAGATTTGCTGTTAAGGAGCAGTGAGTGAAGAGCCAGTTTTCCTCATCTTTGTGTGAAGCATTAGAAGCAGCAGCAGCAACAGTAGCTTCAGTAACATACACTTATGGTGAATTGTCCAGTGAGGCTGTAAGAACAAAAAAAGGCACATCATTACTAAGTTCACAATATCAGGGAGCCAATCCAGGGAGATGCATTACTATTATTGTTGATACACTGTCAAAACATTTCAAAGCCCTGTATTAGATTTACTGTAAATCCACGACTGTTTGTGGGACACTGCTGTGCATGTTTCGCCCACAAAACATAGTCAATTCACTTTACAGTATATTCTATGAAGCGCTTTGAGATAAGGCACTATATCAAATGCAAGGATTATTATTATTATTAAGTGTAGTGACTGTCTATTTTGTAGATGGACATGTCAGCCAATTTGTACACAGCAATGCATGCAAACAGTCATGAAGTGAGTGACCAATTTTATTTGGGGGATTGTTGGTCAGGACACTGAGAGAAACTCTCTTCTCTTTTCAAACAGTGCCAGTGCACTGTGCAGTGTCAGTGCAGCTGCCTCAGGATAATAATAATAATAATCCTTGCATTTGATATAGCGCTTTTCACGTCGGGAGGACGTCCCAAAGCGCTTCACAGAACACACTGTAAAGTGAATTGACTGTATATTTGTGGGTATGTAGAAACCTTGGTAGAAAATTGCCTGATTCTCTCATCCTCCACACATGGTCATTACATTCCACACGGAGAGAACCGAGGGGGTAAGAAATAAGAACTACATATTCAATAGGAAGAGTTGGGGGGACAGTACCTATCCTTCCAGATAGTCTTGAAAATAAATTTCTATCTTAAGTAGCTCCTCTGAGCAGGGGTACTTCTACACTAGGGCAAAATAAGAGCTTAGTAAGCCTTGCATTTTTCTGATATAGTGCCTTATCACGTCTTCAAGAAGTCTCAAAGCATGTCACAGAATATAGAGTAAAGTGAATTGACTGTATATTTTGTGGGCGAAACGCAGCAGCCAATTGCACGCAGCAGTGTCCCACAAACAGTTGTGGATTGAGTGACCAAATTATTATTTTTAAAATTTATTTTGAAGGGATTATTACCCCCTGAAAAGCGATCTGCCAATCGACTGACAACCAGGTCCCTACTTACTGTTAGGTAAACAGAGGCCTGTGTGGAGTAAGGAAACCTGCCTAAGTTTTCGCCTTGCTCGGGAAACAAACCTGGGTCCTCTTGCTTGTGAGGCAAGTACTCTAACCACTGGCTCCACCATAATACACAAAACAGCATATCCCCTTAGCTTTAGTTATAACCAGCAGAACTAAACAATACATTGATATGTTTCTAACAATGACTGCTTGTCAAAACTATAATGAGGTAATGCAGTACTATTTCCTCTAGTTCATTTTGCAGCTATTCTACACATTGTATCTTTGTTTTCAAGAATTCCTATTTCCTGTATGAAAACTGTAGCAGAGCACGACCTTGGAGGTCTGGTTGGATTTAATTAGCAATGTTGCCCTCACAATCATGTTCCGAAAACCATGCTCTTCTGTACAACAAATGATAAAATACAAGGCGGGAAAAAATCTAGCCATTGTTTATTAAAAATTGCAAATCAGTCACAATACAATAAATAGTCTCTCGATCTTAATTTTTCTCAAACAATAGCTCCACAGTTAAGAGTCTAAATTGTATTTACATTTTAAGATCATTAAATTCTCCTAACTACATAAGAATGAATTTTACTGGAAAGATATGAGAATTTGGCAGCTTAGGACCTATAAAACACAGTCACACCACTTTAGTGTATATCCTATGAAGCGCTTTTCGACGTCTTCACAACACAATAAGGCACCATATCAAATAAAAGAAAAAGGAATATATTTTTTCCAAGTTCTGTAATCTGGTGACCTCAAACTGTACAAAGCTTAGATATCTGAGTCTTGCTGACAGCATGAAGAGAAAATAATATAATAATCCTTGCATTTGATACAGCACCTTATCATGTCTTCGAGATGTCTCAAAGGGCTTCACAGAATATACTGTAAAGTGAATTGAATGTATATTTTGTGGGCAAAGAGAATGCAGAAGTACACCTGATAGTATTGAGAGGATCTGTATACACCCACAACAACAGTATACACTTGTACAGGCCTTTTACATCAGGAGGACTTCTCCAACCGCTTCACACAGCAGTTCAATATGCAGCCGCATCATTTAGAACCAAAGCCGAAAAATCATGACAATCCTATTATCGGAAGAATAGAGAGGGATTGGTGGATTGTGAATGGCGAGAATAGTGTGCGCCGGTTAGGTTGTGAATGGTGAGAGTGGCTACCTTGCAGCACATCCCAGGGAGATCACAAACCTGTATGATTTAAGTCACGTAAATTTCAATGATTAGGATCTCCCATTGGTATGTAGGTTTTCAGCCATTCTGCTCCTCTCTCTGGAACGGCACCCGACTCGCTCTCTCCTTCCCTTCCTCTTTCAAGGCATGCCTCAAAATGCACATCTTTGAACTCTCTTTCAGTCATCTTTCCCCTCCCCACCCCTAACTCGGCTCTCTCCCCCAGCTTGGTCCCATTTTGCACTGAATGCACATTGGGACACCCTCCCTACATTAAATTTAAATTGTATTGTGCTGTATTCACTCAGCACCTATTGAGCAAGAAAAACATGCGGTTTTCTGAAGAACAATTTATCATCAGTAATTAACTCATTCAAGATACCAAAGACAATTATATACACTGCTGAGAAAGCAATAGTCATAAATTTTGTTGACAACAGAAAAAAGACAGGTCTGATGATCACCTGGGGCCACTGGAAGGAAAGGTGCCAAAATACTTTTTGAGGGGATTTTAAAGTTGGTGTTGACCATATTGGTGAAATGGAAAGTGTGTAAACCATTGCACAAAAGATTGTAAACTGCTCCAGAACCCAATAACATCAACAAAATTCTTTCTGCTCCATTTAAAGATTTACTGCTGCAGCAATTCAATTTCTGCCATTAAATACCGCAGCCTTGAGCGCAAAACCTTTCAACACTGAAGCACAACAGCACATTGACCTTCTGGAGATTTTACCATCGTTATCAGAAAATAAAACTGTTCTCTTCAAGGCCTGGATTTTTCTTATATCTCTTCAATCAAATGCAGTTCAGGAGGGAGCACAGTATTGTTGGACATCCTTTGGATGAAATGTTAAACTAAGGTCCATCCTACCTGGATTAAAGATCCAGATGGACTATTTGAAAAGAGAATTGGTTGCCGCATTCTCCTATAAATTCAGTCATTATACTTTACAGAAATTTTGTGAAGCTCTTTGAGACATTGACTTCATTGGCACTATTTCAAATGGAAGGATTGCTATAAAAGAAAATGGCCTGTTCTTGTGTTCCTGCATGCTTGCCTATTAGTAATAATATTAATAATGATTCTTGCATTTGATATCGTGCCTTAACATGTTATTGAGACATCACAAAGCGCTCCACAGGATATACCAGAGGATCGAATTCAAGATCCTCATCCTCACCTACAAGACCATTCACGGCCTTGCTCCCTCCTACCTCTCCGATCTACTATCCCCCTACTTACCTGCCCATAGCCTCCATTCCTCTGGCTCCGGCCTTATATTTTATGGAATTAGGAATTGTCCCTCCAGAAAGAGAGTGCGCATTCCAATATGTGAATTTCCATGTTTAGGCGTTATACTTGGAACTCTCAGACTGGTCTGGATACTCATAAGCAACAGTGATGTATTTTTACATGTCTCACACATCCAGCTGACCAAAAAAAAAGCTAAATACAGTGGATGTTAAAATGATCACATTTGATCACAATTTTTCTGATATTGTTTCCTTAAACTGAAGTATATTTGCTGCTTACATGTAATTGATGTAGTTTATATGGATTTTCAAAAGGCGTCTGATAAAGTGCTACATAAGAGACTTGTAAGCAAAATAGAAGCCCACGGTATTAAAGGACAGTGGCAGCATGGATACAGAACTGGCTGGGATACAGAAAGCAGGGAGTGGTGGTGAACGGTAGGTTGTTTTTCTGACTGGAGGGAAGTGTACAGTGATATCCCCCAGGGGCCGCTATTGGGACCACTGGTGTTTTTGATCTATATAAATGACATGGACTTGGGTATAGGGAGTACAATTTCCAAGTTTGCAGATGATACTAAGCTGGGAAAAGTAATAAACAGTGAGGAGGATAGTAGCAGACTGCAAGAGGACATAGACCGACTGGTAAAATGGGCAGAGACGTGGCAGATGAAGTTTAATGTGGAGAAATGCGAAGTGATGCATTTTGGGAGGAAGATTGAGGAGAGGCCATATAAGCTGATGGTACAATCTTAAAGGGGGTGAAGGAACAGAGAGACCTGAGGGCTCATATAAGTAAATCTTTGAAGGTGGCAGAACAGGTAGATACAGCTGTTAAAAAAACAGATGGGATACAAGGCTTTATAAATAGGGGCATAGAATACAAAAGTCAGGAAGTTATGATGAACCTTTATAAACCACTGGTTCGGCCTCAGCTGGAGACTGTGTTCAGTTCTGGTCCCCACACTTTAGGAAGAATGTCAAGGCATTGGAGAGGGTGCAAAGGAGATTTACCAGGATGGTACCAGGAATGAGGGACTTCAGTTATCAGGAGAGGCTAGAGAAGCGAGGATTATTCTCCTTGGAGCAGAGAAGGTTAAGAGGAGACTTAATAGACGTTTTCAAAATTATGATTCTACGATAACGTTGAAGTTAGGAACTACAGTCGGAAAGTTTTTCTTTTTCAAAGAAAATCTCCTAGCAAAGGTCACTGGTTTGGAACTAATTGATTTATTCCATTAAATCACTTAATGCTATTCTGTAAACTGTAATGAAACTCGCTACAGTAGATTGGAAGCAGTTCGGGCAGAGCAAAAGTGATTTCATTGCAAAACAGTGGGAACGTCCAAGATGCTTGTTGAAGCTTGTTTTACCCAACCCCTCCCATGACTCACAAGAAGTCATTGTTGCATTGTATTGCAAGGTTTTGCATCTGTTATGGAAAAAAAAGTCTTTTGCTATAACAACCAGGAACAATAAGATTTTAAAAGATACATTCT